AATCACTTCGTCCCGACATCGCACTACTCCGTGACAACACAATTGAAATATTGGAGCTCACCGTCTGCCATGAGTCTAATTTTTTCAATTCAAAACAATATAAAATGGACAAATATTCTAATAACCTCCATAACAATTTACTTGACAATTTAAAACATTTAAAAATAATAATCAACACGTTCGAAATTTCGCCGCTAGGTTTTTTCAATTGTTTCGATTTGTCGCTGGTCGACATTATTTGGTCTGATCAATTTTATAATAGTCTTATTAACTCTGCGATATCCTCATCATGCGCTGTTTATTGTGATAGAATTTTGACGGAATGAATCAATGTAGAACTAATCTGTTCTCGTTGTACTCATTTCGTGTTTCTTTCACTGAATGACGAGCTACGTAGAATACGCTTTTATAATTTTTTTTTTGTTTTTCTTTACCTAAATCATTTTTGATTTATTATTATTATTATTTATTTATTTATCTTATAATTATCTTACGTTATACAATATTTAATTTTAACATTTTATTGACATATTTTATTTTGACTATTTTTGATTTTACTGGTTTTCTCTGAATAATAAAAGAGTTTACATTATTATTATTATTATTATTACCAGTATCATCTCTCTTCAAATCACTTCGTCCAGATATTGCCATTCGACGAAGTGATACTATCGAAATAGTGGAATTAACAGTTTGCCATGAATCTAATTTTTCTAAATCTAAAGAATATAAAACATCTAAATACTCTCAAAATCTTAATAACAATTTGATAGACGAATTGAAAAACTCAAGTATTATAATAAATTTATTTGAAATTTCCTCGCTAGGTTTTTATAAATATTTTAAACTATCATTAATTAATTTTATTTGGTCTGATCCTTTTCATAGAAGTCTAATTATTTCTAAAAGGATGTTCTCATTATTATTATTATTATTATTCCATCATATTCCATTTCATATAAGCAACTTAACTAAATGCATATACACGAACTACTCAATAACAGTATCCGGATGCGACCAGCTAACACATTCCAGTCAAGCGAGGAGTGCATCAAGGTGATCCCATGTCTCCACTGCTCTTCAACCTCTGCTTTAACCCCATAATGAAACTAGTTGAAAAAACCGAATATCAACAATGCGGCTACATTTGGGGTCCCACGGCTAAATTAAAGACAAGAGCGTGGCTACAATTCGCAGACGACACGGCGATCATTGCTAACAGCACTGGAAGCGCTCAAAAGTTAATCGACTTAAACAATGCATGGTGCAAAGCTACTTGAATGACAATGAGGATAGACAAATGTTCCTCATTCGGCAAGAGAAAAAGAAAAGGTGCTTATGAACAGTTTTATCCGATGCTGTCCATCGACGAAAAACATATTCCTCATGTAGATATTGGAGGCCACTTCGTATATTTAGGTAAATTATACGATTTCGAAGGAAATAATACAAAGGCCAACAATCTAATGGTCAATAAACTCAAAAAAATATTAACAACTGTCAGTGAACTGAACACAACAGCTCAACTCAAATTACAAATCATCAGATTTTAGTTGCCGTCACAATTTGCGTTTGAGTTTCGAATGTACGATACATCGCTGACTTGGATTGGTGAAAACTTAGATACCTTGGACACCAAATCGGCAAGAACATGGCTATCCTTGCCTATCAGCAG